CTGCTCTTACTGGTGAAACTAATGAAGACTGGCCACCAGGCTGGTCCATTTTAACCATGAAACCTCCCACACTAAAATGACAGGTGTTTCAGTTTCATTGTCTAACCCCTGCAGTAACTTGATTGTTGTATATAATTGAACTGTATACAGTATCTGCAGCCCTYRAKAGGCCCACTGACTGATTACAAGATTGTAGACACCTGTGCTGATAATWAGTGGACACGCCTTGGTTTAACATGTCCCTTTGATCACATTATTCTCAGGGGCACCATCATTTCTGTCCAGGCCTGTTTCATGAGTTTTGTTTTATTTTTATTTTTAATCCTGTTGGAGCATGGCTGAAAAACAGTGTCTGACTTTCATTTGTTCATTTGTTTAAAATTTGTTTCTTATTATTACTTTTGTCAGGTTCAAGTTATTTCTGTGACCACTGGTGGTTTTTCTTTCATTAAATGAGGGTTACTAATAATTTTGTCCACTGTTTCTATGTTGCATAAATAGACAATGTGCTTTTAAAGTGTAAAAAAAGGTGCAGTAAGGTAAGGTATGTAAAAAGTTCCTGTCGTTTAGTGTAGCAAAGCTTCCAAGTTTCAACAAATCTTTTTTGTCTTTTGTTTTGTTTTTTTTATTTTGGGTCATGATGGACGATTGACAATCCCAACATGTTARATGATATGTAAAAACACTGGGTGGCAGAAACCAGACGACACCTGTGCCTCAGCTGGCGTCCACTGTTAATTTGCCTGTGACCAACGCTGTGTGCCTCTGAGACCACTGTGGTCAGGCTTCCACCACCTGCAAGTCACACACGGAGGTACAATCATGCTAGTTTTGGTTTATATTTGCTTCGTAAGAAAACCACTTCAAGGAAAGCAGCCCTGCTCTGGGCTCTCRTCCTCTGCCACATCATTTGACGTGGATTTGTCCTCATCACGCTCTGGTTAGGGTGACGTTTTTATATCTGGGGCCGCAAAAGCTGGCTTTGGAGTTGGTTGATGCGACAGGTGAGTATGGAGGTTTGGTTTTATTGTTTAGTGATGGGTTGCTGTACATGAAGTAATGTTTTGAAAGAAAATTTCTGTTTTTTAGCCATGAGAAACTGAACATCTGCTGAAATAAATCCAACTCTGAACATCATGGCTTCAAAGGAAACTGCAGTAAAGGTGAACTATTTTCTCCAGCATGTGATAACTCTTAGTTTTTAAAGTTGAATATGTCAGTTTGATATATTTCCTAAATATTAAAAAAAAATCATTTTAATTTCTAGTGCCTCCTTCCATCAGCCYTRCCAYCCATGCTTGTCTTCATCGTGTTCATGCCAGGTGGGATTTTTAGCCACATTGTGATTTTTTTTTTAACTTCCCTAAATAAAAAGTAAGCCGTTAACAGAGTCAACCTAATTCTTGTTTTTAAATTTTCATTAGTTTTGAGCGGCACAGTCCAGGTGAACTGCTCCAGACCAGACCAGCAGAGCCTGCTGGCAGCTTTGAATCCTGTTTTCAGCTTGAGTGCCATCCGGCCCGTCCAAAACCAAATGACCATAACCAACATCAGCGTGTACTTCACTCTGTACGGGATATTAGGAGTGGTGTGTAAACATTTCTTCTTTTTGAAAACCCTTTTTTTAAGACAAGCTGGACTTCGATATGTACTATTATTGCATTATAATAATAATAAACAAAATATTAATTTTTCCCCACTCCTCTTGTCTTCCAGGATGAAAAGGCTCAACTTCTCAACACTTACATCTGGTTGCACTATGTAAGTGGAACCTTCCAGCTTCTTTGTCAGAAGTGGTGTAGATTTATCATCGTTACATTGTATTTTGGTGATTGGGACGTTACGATGCAGCTTTTCTCACAGCAGATTTCTTGTTGCAGTGGTGGATGAATGAGTTCATCAGTTGGGACTCGATCCAGTGTGGTACTGACAAGATTACTCTTCCGAAAGACAAATTTTGGCGTCCGGATATTGTTATCAATGAGTTGTGAGTTGTTTCTTTAAAATGCTGTTGATAGGATCTCAAATCTCATACAATCTATTATTTACCTGTGTAAATCTTAACCCTAAAAGGCATAAGTAACAAGATAAAGATGAAATATTTAAACATATTAGCTCTAGTTTAAACTACAGTTTTTTTGTTCCATCAGCGGAGAAGTTTTGACTCCTCAGCGTCCCTGTCTCTGATAAAACCTCTGTTTCCTGGTTTTGCAGCATGGATGAAAACAAAGCCCCATCCGTCCCGTACGCCTTCCTGTACAGCGACGGCAAAGTGCACGACGCACTCCCTGTCAAAGTCGTGAGCTCCTGCAACCTCAATATCTACACCTTTCCCTTCGACACCCAAAAGTGCTCTATGACTTTCAACTCCTACCTCTACTATGGTAACTTTTTTTTTTTTATTGTCTTCCTTTGAAACCATGTCCTATTAAGTTACATGRGGTCTTTCACTGAGCTTGGCTCTTCTGATCTTTCTGCTCTCAGCTCTTGAGATCAAGATTTTCCTTGGGAAACCTGCAAACGAGATCACAGCAGATTCCAAGTCTGTGATGACCACCATGGGAGAATGGGAGCTGTTGGATATCACTGCTGAGAAGTTGATAAATAATGACACAACGGGTCTTTACACAGATGCGCTGAAATTTGATGTAGGTGGATTACAGTTGTGTTGTGTTGAAAAAAAAGGGCTCAGAGTTTCATTAAGCTTGATGAAACTGTTTAGACAAACAGTATCATAAATGTTGTTTCAATTTCAAACAGACAGAAAAAGCAAAATATTCTGTTTGATGACAATATTTCAAAGGGGATGTATGCAAAATCGACATTTTTGAGCTTTATACAYCRGGTTCGGACGTTATCAGTCCATTAAATGGACGTTATTAGCGGTTATCAGCCCCATAGAATGGCTTCAGCCTGTCCCAACAGTGCCCCCTAGTGGGTTACCAGTGCCATATACGTTGGAATGCAACAATCTACTTTATCGTAGCCCATGCCATTTTCTGTYAAATTAACCTTAGTGGCTTTATGCCTCATACTAACCAGCTGACAATCTGAAGCCATTTTATGGGATGGAGAACCGCTAATAACGTCCATTTAATGGACTGATAACATCCGAAGCGGGTGCTTTATATCATGTTATGATGTCGTTCCCTCATCAAAAACATATCCAGAGTGTTGCTTTGACTCATTCTTGACTCTCCTGTGGTAGCCACATGGAGCTGCCTAAAAGCTTACTGGTACAAAGCACCGCCTGTTTGCACAAAGCTCCTCCCTAGAGCTCCCGCCCCACAGAAGCATTGTTGTGAAGACGTGCTGAAGTGGAAGTATTGGAAACGGTAGGAGGTTCTTAGGGAGGCAAAGCCCAATTTAAAGATGTTTAGATAGATTATGATGTAAAGTCAATTTTATTTTTGGTATAAACAGCATTTTCTTACAGTAACAACTGAAGAGAATGTAGTTACTCAGTTGTGGTATAGAATTGAACAATGTGCCTGGAAAATGCACAATACCCCACCGAAATCCCAAAAGTTTCCGATTGACTTTCTTTCATCAGATCAAAGTGCGACGCCGTGCCACCATGTACGTGATGAACCTCRTGCTCCCCAGCTGCTTCCTCATCACTGTGGACCTCTTCAGCTTCCTGCTGCCTCCACAGAACATCGACCGGTCCTCCTTCAAGATGACCCTCATCCTGGGCTACACCGTCTTCCTGCTCATCATGAACGACCTGCTGCCGGTCACTGGAAACACCATCCCTCTCATAAGTCAGTAATGTGTGTGCAGCATACATGAAGCTGATCCTAATATTAAAGTATGGTGATGAGTTGCAGGCTTTTGTCAGAAGATCTAAAGGTATCGCTCAGGAAGGATTATGGTTGCATTTAAAGCGCAGGAAACAAAAATGGAGCAAAATGTGATTTGTGTTAAAGTTGAGAAGTTATTTACAATATGTACAACAAGTTTATGTCACCAATTAGTGAACAGGTTCAATATTTCAGTAACCACAAAATTTATGAAGACTTGATCAGATTTCCCTAAATGATGTCCAAATACTGATAGTGATCCCACACAAGAAGCAGTAGTCCACGAGCTGAACTGTTAAACAGTATGAGGGTTAAAGACGGCATAAGTCTGGCAGGCTTAGCTGTTTGAACCAAGTAGGGGTCTCTGCGGACAAGTGGGCGTGTCCCAAAAAAAGGAGATTCCAAAGTGACCCACTTGGTTTGACGGACTTTTTCAAAGGGACACACCTGACTGGACAAGCAAAAAAAGGGGCGTCACCYTATGGCACCACCTGATTGGACAAGAACAAAAGGGGTGTTACTGTATGGCTCCACATTTTCTGGAGAACCCTACTTGGGTCACATTTCTCCTGGTTAACCTTAGTGTTGGGGTCAGAGTCAGGCTGTAAAGAGATCAAGCAGGATCTAAGGATACCGTCATAGGCCTCGTAGCCCACAGTGTTTATGCTTTAGACACGCCCACTCTTGTGTCACACCCACTTTGATTCCACAGATAACCCCTTCTGTTTGAACAGGCCCTTGTGAGTGTGTGGGGGAGCAGGCTGCAGTGCCCCCTACTGTACAGGAAGATCCAACAGTTCTACCTCCAGGTTCTTTGGCCGGAGGCTTAATGGTAGCTCGCCATCGAAAAAAAACCTGGCCTGTGTGAACAAGGCCAACATTAATACCATTTTTTTGTATTAGACAATATCAAAACCACTATTAATACCAAATATTTTTACATATACAGTAAATGGGTTTAATAAATTGATTAATCACATGTACATGATTCACATAATTGTTTGCCATAAGTTAAATATGCAAACAATAATTCACAAATAGAGTAATCTTATATTCATCCTTCTTTTGGAATTAAATGTTAAATATTGCACAGTAATGCGTTATTTGAAACTGTTTTTCCATTAAATAGTGTTGAACCACTTAAATTTAAAGGCTACCAGCTAACAAACAAATCACAAACACTCATCAGTTCATTTACTTCCAATTTCTAAACACAAGAAAACCCACTTTCTTGGGGAATAGAGGCATCTAAAAACTGAAAGGCATCCCTGTTAGTGTATAACAGTCGAAATGAAAAATAAATAAATGGTTTAAAATGGTTTAAGGCCCACCTGCAGCAGCTCTGAACTTCTCCTGCCAAATACATTGTTTCCCAGAGAAACTGTGGGCGTGGCCCATTAAAAAAAACTCAGATCCCACAAAATCTTGCGGGATTTTACACTTAGTCTGGTGGACAGGATGAAAACGTAAAAGGGAGTGAAAGGCCTAAAGTATTTTAAAAATTACTGGGTTACACATGGTAATGCGTTTTATTTATGGTATTCTTCCCCAACTTTATTGCTTGTTTGAGCTTACATGGCAGAAAAATTCATTTATTTTCAGATGTAGGTTTGAAAACTAACTTCTTTCTCTCTCTCCCTCCCAGATGTGTTCTTCTCTCTGTGTCTGGCTCTGATGGTGGCCAGTCTTCTGGAGACGATCCTCGTCACCAACCTGTTGTGCAATTCAAAGGAATTCTCTCCTGTCCCCGGATGGATTAACGTGCTCGTCCTGAACTTTCTCGGCTGTCTTGTTTGCATGCCTCGAAAGACTCAGAGAACAGAAAACCCAGGTATGCATATAGCTCCTTTTAATTACAGTAAATTATATTTATAAATGCATGATAGATCGAAGTTGTTGTTGTTTTTATTTTTTTTTTCTCTCATCTCCAAACATTAGTAACAAGGACCGGCACTGTGGTGGCAAATAATGYACCCCCAGAAATAAAGGGAGCAGCTGAGGATGGTAAGGCCCTGCAGGAGCTGAGGAGCCTGAGCCAAGTCCTCCGGTCCATCCGCAGCCAGGTGGAGCAGCAGCAGCAGAAAGGCAACCAGAGCTCCGAGGACTGGATCCAGGTGGGTTTCATCATTGACCGCCTGCTGTTTGGCCTCTACATCGTCTTCATATCAGTCAGCTTCTTTACCATCATCATTATCTGGGTGAACTCATACACACAGTAAACTGCTGTTTGAAGGAGCTCCATTCATCCAGTGATCCAAGACGTTTGTTCAAGTTCACCTGTAAGGTTTTTTTTAGAGGACTGACTGTAGCTAAGATATTTATTTGCTTCATYCACGAGTTTAATTTGCTGTTTAGTAGGATTATTTGTCATATTATTAAAATGAAAGCTAACTTTCCTCTACAATTATGGTATTAGACCTAAATTTAAGTCCTGTGTGTAACGTTGTGCAACCCAATGTGGAGGAAAACAAAATAAAAACTACATTGAAAATTTAAATCAGCTTTTGATTGGAATTTCTTTCTTTCTTTTTTATGTAATGGGAAATTATTGCTAATTTATTTATAATTAAAATAAAATTTTGACAATGTAGACAATGAAATCTGCACAAATGAGCAACATAAAGAATGTAGAGGGAATATGAGCCAACATATTAACAGGTTATTCATAGGAAATAGTTTCCCTTTTAACAACTATTATAGAACAGTTTTAAGAAATACAGATTTTAAGAATTATTATAAACGTTGATGGTTTTTAAGGATGAGTATTATAAAATGTCWCTCTGGTTCAGCTTTGAGTCGAATCTTTATCAAAATGAAACGGCTTGACGTGAAAGCCTTTTAAAAACAGATCAACTTTATTGTTAAAAGTACGATATTGGATATTTGCATTGTGAATTTTTATTATTGCATGTTCATCCTGAGCTTTTTGATGGGTTTGAATCAAAACTAAAAGCATTTAAAAAATGTTTTTTTGGTTTTATTTACGAAAATGTGCAAATAAGCTACATAATGTAAACTTTTATCCTAATCTTGTTTTAGTTAACTCTTGAAATCTTCATAGATGTAACGGCAAGTGATTATTTGTGAATCTCAAGTGATAAGACTGACCATTCCTTTGTTGCTGTTTGAGGAAAAAGAAAAGAAATTGTCACGTTACATCTTCTTGCCCGTTAAACCTTGATGTTCATGCTAAAATGTGTCTGAGTAAAACTAATTCGTACTGAAACTTTGAGACAAACAGAGGATTTCCAWGTGTGAAAGAAATGCACATTTTTTGTTATTTATTTACAAATAGTTCCATCTTAAAGTCCATCCATTCATCAGCCCTCACATTCAAACTAACAACCACTGTTGACCCAATGTTGATGTTTTTAGTGCTGCCCGATGAAAGTCAAGCCTTCTAAACATCTTTTCATCCTCATCTCTCTGCTGATGGTCGGTGAGTACATGTCCATTTTTCTCACACGTACAAATACAAATATGTTTGGATTTTCCTGGGTTTATTCTCTCACAGTAAACTGACTGAAAACATGATAGTTTAACTGTAGGGAACTAAAAGTGTCACAGTGTTTGTCTTTTCTGCTGTCATGTTAAATGTTTAAATGTTTCCAATGTTAATTCAAATTTTCTGCACAATAATTGACATTAAAAAGACATTAAAAGGAGATTTGTCTGGTGAAGTCTAGCTGAGACAAACCAGGGTTAGATCTCGACTAAAAATGAAGACGCTGTTTTTCTTCTTTTTCTTCGCCCTGCAGCTTCGTGCAGCTCTGACATCCTGAACTGTTCTCAGCCTACCCCTACCTCTCTGCTGAGTGRTCTACAGCCAGTGTTTGACTTGAACTCCATCCGTCCTGTAGTTAATATATCAACAACAACCATCGTTTCCATTGACTTCATATTATTTGGTATTTTGGGAGTGGTAAGAAAAGTCCTGTAGAATACAAACATGACTTGAGTCACTTTTTTTATTTTATAACTCCAGCAGCAGTGTTTTTTTCTTTTTTTTTTGTAAAACTGAAATTCATTGTGTCCTGTTTCGTCACATTTTGAGTTCTTATTAAGCCATACAAAACATCATGGTTCTTTTCCAGGATGAGAAGGCTCAGGTCCTGACAACCTACATATGGCAATACGTAGTGAGTGTTTTATTTGGAATCAGCTTCACAGTGTGTTTGTCTCAGTCAAAGCTTGGAAATCAGAGTTGTTCGTTTTTCATGTTCATCACTCTGGATGAATGTACTTTCAATGTGTACAGCAATGGCAAAATGAATTCACYGTGTGGGACCAAGACAAATGTGGCGTTGACTGGATCGCCATTCCTCGGACAATGCTGTGGGTGCCAGATATCGTCATTAATGAATTGTGAGTCTGATTTCCTCCATTCACAGCTTAGTGAAAAGTTTACAGCCGTATTAGGACCGTTGTAGGGAGTTTGAGATCCATTTTGTTCAGATCATTGTTCAGTCCATTCCTTGTCAACATCCCTGCAGACCTTTTGTTTTTGTTTTTTTTACAAATTATTTTTTGTAAGAGGATAGATGATCAGATTTGAGTTATTTTCGCTCATCATGAGTTTTATCTATTAGAGTATTTGTGTTTTATCACCCTGCAGCATGGAGAAAAACAATGCTCCGGCCGTCCCGTACACCTACCTTCGCTTTGACGGCGCCGTGTTCGATGAGCTGCCTGTCAAAGTTGTGAGCTCCTGCCATCTTGACATCTATTTGTTTCCTTTCGACATTCAGAACTGCACTTTTACTTTCAACTCCTATATTTATGATGGTAAGTATTAAGGTTAGGGTGATGGGCGTTTTCATCTTCCTCTGTGGTCAAGAATCTTGGTGTGTTTGAGAAACAAATGTCCTCAGTTGTTAAAACCATTTATTTTTCCGCTGCATCTAATTGCCAGCGCAATCACTGGCTGCCTGTTTGCTTTCGCATTGATTTTAAGATTATTTTAACTTACTTTTAAAGTTTTAAATGGTTTCCAGTTATTTATTGTCTCTGTTGCACTTTTARACTCCAAACAGAGAAGGATCCTCTAATCAGATGATTTTAGTGCAGCCAATAGGGACCAAGACTGAAACCACTTGCTTCTTGAGATCCGTGCTGCAGAGTCTGTTCGGTCTTTTTTTATACTGGCTTTTAATTTAAGTTCAGTAGGAATTTGTAGTTGTGTCTTTTTTTTTATTTGTTTTTAGTTTGTTTACTGTTTCAAACTGTGTCTGTGAAGCACTTTGGTCAACACTGTTGTTTTTTGAATGAGCTCTGTAAATAAAATGATGATGATGATGATGATGATGAAGAAGAAGAAGAAGATGATGATGATGATGATGATGATGATGATGATGATGATCCAAAACATTCACTTTTTTTTCTCTTTTAGACAATGCCATTCAACTAAAATCTGAAATGTCAGGAGAGCAAATACTGACAGCATCAAAAGATGCAATGGCGACCATGGGTGAATGGGAGTTAGTTGGAATTAAAACAGAGCTCAAAACGATAAAAATTTCAGACGACTTCTCTTATCAAGAGCTTCATTATTATGTAAGWCACCAAAATAATCTGTAACCATTCATGTTTACGATTAGTAAATTATCATAAATTTCCAGCATGTCTTGTGTGGAACAGTTTAAGATGGTGGTAAAACACAGTCAGTGAGAGTGACCACGCTCCGCCTGCCTTCGTTGCAGATCTCTCTCCGGCGCCAGCCTTTCATGTACGTTCTGAACCTCGTGATCCCCACTTGTTTCCTCATCACCGTGGACCTCTTCAGCTTTATACTGCCTGCACAYAGCATCGACCGGTCCTTGTTCAAGATGACCCTCATCCTGGGCTACACCGTCTTCCTGCTCAGCACGAACGACCTGCTGCCGATCACCGGAAACACCATTCCGCTCATAAGTCAGTTCACGAGAACTCAATGGATTTTTTTTTACTTACAGCTTCTTGTAGCCGTATTTTCAGATGTATATCTGCAGCAGGACAACTTTTACTGTAATGCTCCAGTCTAGCATAAAGCGGTCTAATGGTTTTCTGAGATGTTTGTAGGCAAATTAAAACCATTTTAATCATTGTCCCAGATGTGTTCCTGTCTCTCTGCCTGTCCATGATGGTTACCAGTCTGCTGGAGACCATCTTCATCACCAACCTTCTGCTCGGCTCCTCCACCTACACGCCACCTCCTCGCTGGATCAGAGTGTTAGTTCTTCGTATCTTGGGTCGACTAGTTGGACTTCCTCCCAAACCCGCCCAACAAGAAGACACGGTGATCCAAAATCCTGTTGCACAAGGTTGTTTATGCTGTTTTAATTTAATCAGCCGCATTGTTTTGATGTAAAAAAATGTTGGATCTGTGATGTCCTCATCCTTTACTTCCTCTGCAACAGAAATGAAGGATTTACCCCAAATGGATAAAGCAGCCGAGGCTTCAGAGCAGAAGGAGCCTCTGAACGAAGACACGACCGTGCATGTGTTGAAGGAGCTGAGCGCTGATCTCCAAGCCATCCACCGTCAGGTTGTACATCAGCTGCAGGGACAGCCCAGCTCRGAGGAGTGGATCCAGGTCGGCTTCGTCATCGACCGCCTGTTGTTCATCCTCTACATCATCTTCATATCCGTCAGCTTCGTCGCCATCATCGTCATCTGGGTGAACTCGTACTACAACGTCTGAGTTGATGTATTTGAGTCTTTTTTGCCTGCTTTTGGGTCCTGCTGCAGCAAGGACAAGGATGGCCTTTAGTTGTAGAATTACAGCAAAGGCTAATGACAAACAGTCAAACTTCAGTTCGTCTCATGAGCAAAGGTGGTCACTTTTTACTCTCAATAAATGTAACGTTTACGTCAATATATAACTACATTTTACACAACGCCATCATCTTGGTGCATAGTTCTCCCATGCTTGCTTTTAAAGAAAACAGATTGCATTTGTTTAAATTAGTAAATCGGTTCCAAACTACTGATTAGACCACATGACATTTTTGTTTCAGTTATCATAAAATAAAGTTCTCTGCTCCGGTTTTGTCCCTTTCGTCATTTGAATTTATTGTTTATACTCTGTGTGTGTGTGTACTTGTTACCTATTTAAGATTGTTTCTGGTATAGACACGTACCTTATCAAGACAAGTAGTCCTTATGAAGACCCTTTGGTCCTCATAAGGACCAAAGGGTCCTTCTGACCTTATGACCAACCTAAAAATGGAATTCCACCATATTAGGACCAGTCTTTACTGGTCCTAATATGGTGGAATTCCATTTTTAGGTTGGTGGTTAGTTTTAGGACTAAGGTATGAAATGAGTTTAGGTTAGGTTTACGGATAGGTATGTACTGGGGTGGTTGGTTCTAAGGGATTTGGGTTAGGTTGTTGAAACGACTGAAAACAAATGGTTAGGTTTAGTTAATGACCGGTCCTAATACGGCTAAAAATAAAACTGTGTGTGTTTACATGTTTTTGTTACTTGTTGGTGACGATTTTTGACCATTTTCCCGGTATACACAGCCTGGTCTTCATTGGGGGAAATACCATTGCTGGGTCAGGAGTTAGACTTGAGTTTAGATTGGTTTAGGGTCTGGTACATACCTGTGAGGTTAGGTTTAGGATAAGGGGTCAGGGTTAGGCTACAGGAATAACGAGTAAATTAATGAAAGTCAATGCAAAATCCCAATGAGTATAGAAGAAAAAAAGTGTGATTAAAAAAAACATCATTAAATCCTAAAAAAAGATTCACCTGCACAGATCGGTAACTCCCACAGCTGGAGGTGTAAAAAACATAATGGGTGAGAAGTCATTGAAAGTGTGAAACAACAAGTTTTGTGTTCTCCCTGCATGTGTTTATGACAATTTGTGTTTGGTTTCTTTGTTTTCTTTCCTCTCATAAAGATGGAAGCAGTCTTATGGTGTTTGTTTGGAGTATAAAAGTTCAAAATCTTCCAAATACTGATATAAAACCCAAAAAGTTTCATTTTAATCCAGAAAACTGCTTTAACCATATTTAAGTGAACTGTGTGTACTGATGCATACTACAAAAAATAATCTTTTTTACACAAAAGAACAAATTACAAAGATTTATTGTGGTTTTTAGCTTTAATTCAAGCTCAGATAATTATAAAATACAACAAAAAACTGTAGAAGGTTTGGTTAGGTTGAGAGACAGTACCACAAGAGTTAGTGTGCAGGTGTGTGTGTGTGTGTGTGTGTGTGTGTGTGTGTGTGTGTGT